GTGACAACTCCGCGTCTGGAAGCTAGGATGATGGCAAAAATCCTGACTATGAAATTCAGTCTGCTGGCTTCTTGTTTGGGATGAAGACCCAGGGCTGGAGAAACTCTCCCTGCTCTCCCAGTCTACCCCTCTCCCATTGCCTGAACCCCTTCTCTCCTACAGCCTTGGTCTCCTATTGAGGACGGGGCTGATGACTTCATGCTGAACCTTCAAGTCCCATCTCTGTAAACAACACTCAAGTCCAGCTGACCAGTTCAACCCCTGGGAGTCATCACAGAAATTAAACACTGGGGAGCATGGGCTGAACTGAAATGCCCTGGACCCCAAAGTGGCTTTAGTTACTGAGTTGCCACAGGCAGGTCTGAACCAGGAAGGATTTTTTGGCCATCAAATGGAGGCACATTATTCATCAGACTAATTATTATCAGAGATAATTACTTAAGCAATGACATAAATACTTTGAAACCAAGTTATTTTAATTGCTCATTGTAGGCCTTGAGGAAATGTGAACTGAATTGCTTATTTAACATTCGTCAAGCAAAGGTCACAATATTTTCTTTGCTAGCAATGAAGAATTCACAGATAATTACAACAAAAAGATTTTGCAATCATCCCTTCCAATGCTCTCATCTTGTGGATGAATGATCAAGTACCAGTGAGGAATGTATATATTCAGGTGGTTATTTAATGATTATATTGTCTGCACTACAAGAAAAACTTGATTTCATTGCAAGTCATCCTTATCTAACTTATTTAACTTTTTCCTATCTCTATTTCATTGCTATGAAGATGGGAATATAGTATGACCTACCTTATGGCATAGCTGTGATAATTAAATGATTTGCATATGCCATTGCATACAGCAGTGCCTGGAACTGGTAAGCACTCAAACATCTTAAATGTCATTGTGATTATGAATACCTATGGCAAGGACTTGGGAGCTCGTGCTAATCGATTCTTAGTTTACTAACTGAATTGCTGTCTATTTTCTTTCTTTATTTCACTACATAACATTAACTTTTGAACAGAACTCTGATTAAAATAGTTTTCCTGTTTTGCCTAAATTTGCACACATATGTACTCGTTTAGAAATGTATATATGTTTATGTGTAAAGAAGTCTAGTTGGAAGAGTTTCCCACTAACCACTAACTGCACTCTGCAGCCTGATCTGAGGGGTAAAGGGGGAGGGGGAGAGAGAGAGAGAATGAAAATGAACTATTTAATCCATCAAATTCAGGTGACTTCACCTTCAAAATACCTCCTCACCACCACCACTATCCTGCCCGGTCCCATCTCTGCCCCTTGCTTGGGCTAGCAGCAGCCCCTACATGTTCCCCCTGCCTGTGTGCTTACCCTTCTGCAGTTTGTTCTCTGCCAGCAGCCAGAGGGCTCCTTCTAACACGTGAGTCATATCATTTCACTTCTCTGTTCAAGACCTACAAACAGCACCCCGTCTCATGCTGGGTAAACCTCCGCTCTCCCTGACCTCATTTCCCTCGCTTGCTGTGACCCAGTCCCGTTGACTGTTTTGTTCCTTGAACTCCCAGGTGTGCTCCTGCCTCAGGCCTTTTGCTCAAGCTGTCTCCTCTGTTGGTAATGATCTTCTCCAGCGGGCCCAGTGATTCCCTCCCTTCCGTCCAACCTCCCTCTCTTCCTTCTGATTTCTGCTCAAATGCCATGTCAGCAGCGGGTCTTCCCAATCAACTCTGTAATAACGGGACACCTTCACCTTCTCTCTGCCTCCCTGCCCTGATTATTCTTCATAGCATTGATCAACAGCGCCCCCCCCCACGCACACACATACATGTGCTCTTTACTCCCTCTTTCCTCTTTACATGTGTGTAAACCCTCCAATGTCAGTGATCTGTTTTGTTCACTGCTCTACCCTCACTATTGAGGGCACTGCTGGACAGATGCTCGATACCATTTTTTGGAATGAATTTGTCTTCTTCCCTTTTTACATGTAATTTAAAAAAATCATTTAAAGACAGAAGGTCTCATGAGACCTGGAAATAAGTTCTGGGGCTCCAGTGGACTCTGATCATTGTTTACCTGCCCAGCTTCTAAGCCCCCTTGCTCTTCTTCCCAGCCTCCCTTGCGGTGGGCACAGACAGGTAACAAAGGAACACACCCACTGGGCTGTGACAGAGAGAAGCAAGGGCCATGGAGAAGCCACCTTGGTAGTGATGGTGGCAGCAGTGATGTCATATGCTTGAGTAGGAAGGGCCATGGTGTGAGCTGTATTGACAATGCCATGGGCTCCACGGATTGAAACTCAGGCATGATTTGCTTTAAGAACCTTGCTCTTTTTGGTCCCACTTCTGCAGCCTGATTTTCTGACATCCTTTGTGATTTTATGAACTCTGCAAAATCCTTTATCTTCTGCTCGTAGACGTGAAACTCAGTTTCTGCTTTGCTTGCCGCAGAGAACCTGGCCACTCTGGGGCTCTGCTCTATGATGCACCACAGCAATAAGCACCTGTACCCACAGAGGTGGAGACACACAGTGGCTGCAGGTGGATGTGGCTGCTGGAAGCACCGGGGCTTCAGATGAGCCTTCCTGACCTCTTTTGCTTGACCTTGCCTTGAGGTGAGCAGTTGTGGTATTCTTTCCTCCCACAACTTCAATTCGTTCATCTTTGAGCTTCATTGTATCTACACTCTTTGCAAAAGACATATATTTTTAACTAAGTAACTAAAAAAAATCATGCATCTGTGCATTTGGAGATTTTTTCAGGAGGATTTCCTTCACACAATGTGAGTGACGCAAGCTGCTGTCATTGTCAGCACATAGAGACAGAACGAGGATGGGGAGATTTCATCCCCAGCACTCACACCTCAGAATTCCTCGGATATTCTCCAAGAGTTGCATTTCCAGCATCTTTGAGTAGAATCTTGGAATAACAACCACTGAAACTGTCCTCAGGAGAGTGGATTGAAGAAGAGAATCATCGCCAGTTCCACCTTCTGAGCTTCCTGTGTTAGCAGGAAATACATTGACTTGCAGACAAAAAAACAAGTGCTGGTCGGAGGGGAACTCCTAGCCTCCTCCCCGTCTAAAAGGATACTAAAATAATACCAAGGGGCAGTGCCAAAGTTGGGGACAGGTCACTATCTATAGGTTCTCACTTATGAGCTCAACTGCAAGACCATTCAAGCTCAAGGCCCAACAATAATGGGGTTGATTTAACAAACAAGGAGATTTGGGAAACAAAGAATTTCTAAGGCCACAAGTGGCCATCTAGATCACCTTAGATGGTGTCTGCAGTGTTCAGTAGTCCCAAACAAATGTTGCTTTGGCACCATCCCATCAATGAGGGCCTGGGATTGGTGGCACACTGGAAAACGGTGAGCCAGGAGGCAATGCTGGATAATCAGAAGCAGTGGACAGCTCTCAAAGGTGACCAGACACAGAGTGCCAGTCACCTGTCAACAGTACTGATTAGTACTTGTCAGCAGTGCTGGCACCACGGGTCATCAGGAGGTGGTGTCGGACACATCAGTGTTAATGGCTCTTTATAAGCTATTTGTATGAACCAATAGCTAACAGCTCTTTAAAGCACCAGGCCCTAGGCCAACAGTGTTCCTTGTAGGCTATGTCGGAGACAGGTGAAGGGTTGGATCTCTACAAATGTCTATGAGGTCTGGTGAATCCCTCGGAGGCCAACTGCTGGATGCTTCTCTTCTTTGGAGGCCAACTGCGAGTCTTTCTTCAGAAGCCAGAAGCAGAATGAATCCAAGATGGCTCTTGCTGGTCTCCCATCCTACCCACAAAACTGACAAGACCATTTTCAATTCTAAGTGTCTAATTGTACCACTTAGCACCAATCAGTTCATTTCTGTTTTTTTTTTTTTTTTAAGATTTTTTAAATTTATTTATTCATACAAGCACTGGGTACAGTCAGAAGTGCGGGAGGGTGAGAGAATTCACCAGAGCCAGAGCAGGGAACAGAACAGGCAAACTGACGAAATACACTGCTGAGGGGAGCAGTGGGCGGCAGGAGAGGTCTGTCACATCATGTGGGACCCTCGCCGGTGGCCGGGGATCGAACTGGTGCTGCAGAGGCTGCAGGCAGCTTCGCAGTCCAGCACTCAACCGCTGCGCCACCAGGGGAGGCCCCCTCATTTCCGTTTTTAATCAAATAGCTCATTTCCATGAATGAAACTGAGCTTGAACCTGATTGGTTCATTTACTGTCCAGGCATCAAATACACAAGGGAAAACCTGGTGCCTACACAGACCCTGGTGCCCTGAGTGAGGGCAGGCTCATGGGCCAGTGGATTCTGGGGAGTTATTGGTTGGAGGCGGCCTCAGTGAGGCAGAAGGCAAACTGCACCCAGTACCCCTTCAGCAGGGTGGGTGTAACAGTGAAAAGGGCGGAAGCTTGTAGCAGCATTAGGACATGGGTCGCATCTGCTGTAGCTGGGAGCCTGCCGTATTGGTGAGGGCCCCTCTGCCTACAGCTCCAGGGAGTGCTTGGGGCTTGCCTCCATAGCCTCCACTTGCTCTGGCTCTGGGTGGGCGACCTTGCTGCTGCAGCCCCAGTGGAACTGCATGTGGGATGGGGAGATGGGAGGAGGTGAGACAAGTGCCACCACTGACACCCTCAGCTTAAAACCTGAGCCTCAGCAGGGCTGCTCACTCTGGATTTTTGTGAGATCCTTTTAAAATACCAATTTAATTGTGTCATTCTCCGCTTAAAACTCCTTGGTGTCTCCCTGTCATTTTACTTTATTTGAAGATTTATTTATTTATGTATGTATACAAGAATTGGGGTACCAGTCAGAGGTGCAGGGGATGGGAGTATTCACCAGAGACAGAGTGAGGCACAGAATAGGCAGATCTACCGAAGTACACTGCTGAGAGGAGCAGCGGGCGAGACTGCTGGTATTTTCACAGTGTTGTGCTTAACTCCTTGCGCCACCAGGGAGACCCTGGTGATTTTAAATAAAAATCCAATCATTTTAAATAAAAATCCAATCAAGGTACATCAAGACATGTCCCCAAACTGCTATTCCAGTCTCTTCTCCCCCTCTTGGGCTCTCTCACCCTATGCTCCAGCCAAACCAACTCTGCTCTGCGGACCTCTCCTGCGTGGGACAGAGCATTTGTGAATGTCTTGCCCCTGCACAGAAAACACCCTTTCTTCTTTGCTCAGTAACTTGCAATTATCCTTTACCACCCACTCAAATGTCCCCATCCCTGGAGTCTTCTACTTCCTCCTGTAGCCCAAGGGCAGCCTGCCACTGTGCTCTTCCAGTAACTTGAATACTATTCTGTCATTCAGCCACAGCTGAATGATAATACTCACCCGTGAGTCACTAAAGAGCTGTTACAGGGAAAGGTGTGGGGCACCCCAGAACCCCCAAAACTGCCCCCTCGAAATAGGTTCTGCCATCTGTCACATCAAGACAAAACAAACTCTAGCGCTAAGATCTTTAATGGAAAGGAACTTTAATACAATTAGTGTGCAATTCAGAAAAGGGAAAGAATAAAGTTTCTAAATCAAGCACCCAAAGTTACCCATGCCCTCACAGGCAAATGCCCAGCCAAATAGGGTCACCTCTTGGTGGGGAGCCATAGGAAAGGGGCAGAAGGGGCGCAGCGCTTCTGGGACAGAAGGAGCAAAATCAAGATCAAGATGAACGCTGCCACGGGTCTCTCACCCACATCTGTTTCACCAGTCCAGGAGCAAAAAGCAAGTGCAACTTCTTCACATGTTTCTCTGCTCCATGTGCCTCCACCAAGTGTCCTTCTTGCTTCCCATCCTGCTTCCTTCCTTCTCAGTCTCCTTCCTGCTTCTCTTCCTCCCTGTTCAGCTCTGCCCTACCTACCGTGGGTGGGGCAGTGAACCTAGAATCTCCCCTTTCCCGGGGGACCACCCTGTGACAGAGCTTCATGCATGGCCTCTATTCTCTTTCCCTCCTCCCTGTCTGCAAAACTTGGGATGCTTTTATGAGTAAATGAACTGCATTAATAATTTTTGTGCCCAAAGCTGAATCCAGGAGTTCATGGGTTAAACAAGGGCGACTAAGTAGGAGAAGCTGTGCATCAGGTGGAAGGTAGTTTGCAAGCACTATAGATGTAACCTCATGTTGCTAATACTGTCCCTTCATTGTGAGGAACAGGAGAAATGGGAGGCCTAAGAGACTTCCTCTTTCTGCTGGAGATAGCTGTCTATTTTGTGTTAAAACATTATATAGTGACCTTTTCTGAGACTTTGTCCTTACAGGCCCACTGTGTAAACTTGACACTTCCTTCCTGTTCCTAAAATATTAAATGATGGGTCAGGTTTGACTCAGAGGCCCTTTCTGTCTCTCCTGGATTGCTGATCGAGACCACTCAAACGCAAGGTCAGCTATATCAAGACTGCCAAGGAAACATCTTGTAAATTCCATGTGACTGACACGTCCTCCACGTCCTCCCTGTGACTGACACATTCTTTCTCTTCCACTTATTTTTATTCCAGGTGTTCACGGACGTCATACAAACCCAGTTATTCAGAGAAGGGAGCACAATGGGGATGTGGATGCTGTGACTGCTCCTTCCCGTTTCACTGTTTCAGCTTCACTGCAAAAACAGCCTTTTCAGTGACAAACAAGCCCAGCATGTGGGAGGGGACACTGGTGGGTATGTGGTAAGGGGGTGTATGTGCTACGTGATTGTAGGGCCAGTATCTTTAAGGGGCAGCAGATGACATGGTTTGTTTTTAAGCAAAATCATGATACCACATTTCAAAGTGAGTGTTTCAGTTAGCTAAGTTCACATTTAGATATGAAAAGCAGGATTACATCTCTTCAATCCATCTCTTATCAGTTCATGGTTGTTTCCAGACAATGAAAAGAAATATATAAAAACCACCGACTCAGATAATGGCTGATCCACAGCTTTTGGGTCTGTGTGCTTGAGTCAGATTTACAACAGATCCAATCCAACCATTCAGAAATCTGTTAATTGAGTGGTTGAAAAGTCAATCTGAAACTAGAAAATTGCTTCAGTGTTCACATGTAAATGGAGGATACCTATATTTGCTGCAGAAGTATTACCAGTCAGATTGGTTTTTCCCTTTCTAGCACCACCTCCAAATACCTTCTGGATTTAAGAGTGGTAGAAAATGTTTCTGTTGTTCTTGACTGAGTTGGAGATATTAACCATATATGTAGTTTCCACATAGCTTCTTCGCATCAGGCACTTGGAATAAGGGCTCATCATTCTCTGCCTCAAGTGGAAGGCAAAAGGTAGCAGATTACAGCAGAATATTAGTGAGGGGGTGTTCAGTAAATGCTTGATGAAGGAAGGAAGGAAGAGTAAGTTAATATGGTACAAGCAAGCCCCAATTCTAAAGGGTGTGTCCAGGAAAACATTCACTAGAACTGGGGATAGGAGCATTGAAATGAACTCACCCCTTACCCCCATTTTGCTTACCTTATTTAATAGGCAGTTAGTAGTCTCAAAAATCTTTCTTTTCATCAGACGTTTGATCTTCTTGTAAAAATTTTGGTCTTTAAGCTTGAATATGGAGCTTCACTCCATCAGTGACATGATTTTCCTGTTGTGGAAGGAACATTATGAAGTTCTGTTGAAGAAAAACTGAATCCTACCCATACTTCTGTGAAAGCCAGTCTCTGGGTCAAAAAGCAGAAAGCACTTTTGCACATGACCAAACTGTGCAAAATGTTCTCTCAACTCATTAAGGTAGCGGTCCAGGGAATTCTTCTGACAAAAACAACCACACTGGCCCAGATTGGTACCCAGCGCCCTGGCGTCCTCACTGCGGAGGCCACCAGCTTCAGGTCCTCTTCACGACCTATGATTGCAACTAGAAAAATGAACTTTTTCTTCTTCATACAACGTAGAATTGTAACATTTGTTATTTGCATTCTCTCATCTATTCCCAGCGGCCAAGGATTAAGACTGTGTGTTTAAAATAAATAAGGCTGTCTTTTTTTTTTTTTTTTTAACATCATTGTTCATTTTTAAACAGTGTTTGCTCCTCAGGTGTAGTCCCCATAGAATTTCCTTCCCCAATGCACCTGTGCACCATCACCTCAGTCCCCTGTGCTCCTCCCTCCTGCCCTCTGACCCCTCTCCCTCCTCCTCCCCTGCAGGATGTCTCTGGGTTATAATTGTCTGTTTTTGTTTTGTTGTGCTTTGTACTGTTATTATTTTTCTTATACTGATGTCTTATTTGGTTCTCTTATATTTAAAGACAGTAGTTTTAAAAAGTTTAAGGAATTAATGGCTGAGATGGGTTGGGAGGTTGTTCATAGGAATGCCACAGATGTTCACATAGTCAAAAAACAGACACAGAAGCCTGACAGCCTCATGGGAATGGATCTGGGAGGCCACCAGTATGAGAGCATCTCCCTACTTTCCTGTCTCTGTGACTTGTACCAGGTGCTGTGGTTTCTCTTGTCCTGACACCTCTGTTCTGTACTCCCCCTCTATTTACCCAAACGCCTTTGCTCATTCTCAGGTTCTCCCTGATAGCTCTTGTACATGCTCCATGAGCCCACGTTTACCCTGCTCATTTCCTGTAATAAGCTTTCCAAAGTCTCATGATAGGAATCCAATTGATTGCCTCTATTTTCAAGTTGAAGTGGTTATTTTGCCTGTGAATTAGCTGTCTTTGCAAACCTTGTCCACTTTGGTCAAATCACCCACGAGCTTACAGTGTGCCTTTGATACCTGGCATTTCCAGTCAAGGGGCAGGGCAGGCTGACTCATTTGTAAGGACCAGTGGGTGCTGAGCAGGCATTTCTCGTGTAGTCTTGCATGCCTGAATGTGGGCATAGTCATCTAGATTGTCATTAGATTTTAGAATTCTAAAGATAGAGCAAAAAAGGGCCTCCCCAGTGGCGCAGCGGTTGAGCGCTGGGTTGCGAAGCTGCGCGCGGCCTCTGCGGCGCCGGTTCGATCCCCGGCTGCTCCCCGGCCACCGGAGGAGGGTCCCACATGGCGCGCAGACCTCTCCTGCCGCCCGCTGCTCCCCTCAGCAGTGTACTTCGGTCCTTCTGCCTGCTCTGCTCCCCGCTCTGGCTCTGGTGAATTCTCTCGCCCTCCCGCGCTTCTGACTGTACCCAGTGCATGTATAAACAAAACAAACAAAGAAACCAGCAAACAAATAAATAAAGCATGCCTCTATAAAAAAAAAAAAAAAAGATAGAGCAAAAAAAAAACTGTTCAATGGGACCCCTCCAGCAAGTAAGATGTGTGTGTGTGTGCATAGAAGAACCGGGGCATAGGCCAGAGGTGCAGGGGGTGAGAGGATACACCATAGACAGTGTGGAGAGCAGAACAGGTAGATCTACTGAAGTACACTGCTGAGGGGAGTAGCAGTGAGACAGGAAAGGTCTGCCGCCCCATATGTGGGTAGCTCCCTTACTGGGGTCGAACTCAGGCCGTAGCAGTGATAGAGCTGAAACTTAACACCTAGGCCTCCAGGGAGATCCCTGGCACTGTAAGTTTAATGTCTGATCACCAAAAAATCAGAGCAGTGTCTGCATAGGAAGGAAGGGTCCATGGGTGGTGAAGGAATTCATTCTAGAAGTCACTGTTTATTAAGTATCTATGATGTAGAAAGCAGATTCTTAGATTCACTAAGTTTTAGATCTTCTTGGTATGAGATACTAGGGGGTTGAGAGCCTACTTATTATTATTTTGTGTGTGTGTGCGCGTGAGCGGGGGATGAATTATTTATTTTTAATTTTTATTGAGATGGAATTGAGAAAAAAATTATGTTAGTTTCAAGCGTACAACATAGGTATTTGATGGTCATATACACTGTAAAAAGACCACAATAATAAGTCTAGTTAACAGTCATCATCACACATTTTTACCAATCTTTTTTTTTTCTCTTGTGATGAGAATTTTTAACATCTACTTAAAAGAGTCTACTTTTTAAGAAAACATCTTTTGGAATGCTTAACTGTACATTATCTAATAGAACTTCACAAGAACCCTCACTCAGAGCAGGAGTTTAGAAAACCTACATAAGGGACCAGGAAAAAGAATAACTATAATAAAGAAGAAATCAAAATCAACAAGCAACTATAAACCAGAGACACACTACACTACGGGGCTGGGGGACGGGGAGAGGAAGGATTGGGGTCAAAATAAGGGGGGTGCAATGTATGGGGAATATAACCAAGATGAAAATGCATACATTGTGCAAAAATGAAAAATGATGTAAGAAATATATATAAAAAAATAAAGTGAAAAAAAAAAGAACCCTATGGAGATAAGTATTATAATACATTTCATTTAACAGATCTCAAGACAGAGGCTCAGAGAGCTTGAGCTACTTGCTGAAACTTAGGGACATGTCCCTCTTACCCTCTTCCACATCAATTGAAAGAGGGCTACAGCCTGTTCTTGACACACTCCTGAGTCTCCCCCTAGACTGGAGGCATGGGCCATGTCTATACCATCTATCCCTAGTAGCTTACCACAGGCCTGATGCCCAGGACACAGTCAATAGTCTGACACATGCATGCTCGAGTGAATAATTTACTGCAAAACTCAGATCAAGGGGGTGGTGAAGGTAATATGTGAAGAAGTATCCAGGGGGCCTAAGGCAGAGGCAAAAGCTGCATCTTTGTGGCCTTGGTCTGTGCTAGATGGGGGAGGGTGTGGTGACCTCCCTCCAGAACATTCCTCAGCCTCAGCTGTGCCATGGGCTAAAGGTTTTCTAGGAATTTTAGAAGTAAGATTGCAAACAAGGATTATAGGATAAAGGGAAGGTTAGGGCGAGCTCCATCATCAACTCCTTCCACTGCATGGCCTGCTTGTACCAGCCAAACATGGCAGTGGGAAGTACTTCCTGCTGTCTGGGAAACAGAAGGGCATAGCTTTCCTGATGGCGCTGATTCCTTGGTCTTTTTGTAAAGTGATTTGTTTGATTCATCTATTTTCTCAATTTAATAAGCATGTATAGATTTATTCCACATAAGGCTAGAACCAAGGCCAGAAAGTCAAATAAATCAAAGAATTTGCCCTGGAAGAACTCAGTATTTAGTATACAGGAAGATTACTATAGAACACATTAAAAAGTTTAACAGAGTTATCTATGTTGGAGAAAGGGAGCACATAATTATTTCATGAAACACATAAGTGAATGAATGAATGAATGAATGATTTACTATTTTACCTGAAAGGGATATTATATATCAGGCACTGTGTTGGGCAAGGAGGTAGTGGAGCGTCACATTGTCATCAGAGGCTGTATCTAGCCATAGCTGTTTTTTTTTTTTTTAATATTTATTTATTTTTATACAAGAGCTGAGGTACAGGCCAGAGGGCGGGAGGGTGAGAGGATTCAGCAGACACAGAGCGGGGAGCAGAACCGGCACACGGACCGAAAACACTGCTGAGGGGAGCAGCAGGCGACACAGGAGAGGTCTCCCGCGCCATGTGGTTTGCGCCTCGGCCAGCGGGGATCTAACCGGCATTGCAGAGGCTGCGGACAGCTTCACAGCACTGTGCTCAACCGCCTGTGCCACCAGGGAGGCCCTGGTTTGTTTGTTTTCTTAATATGTGTTATAATTGATGTGCAATAATGTACATATTTTTAATATATCACAATCTGATAAATTTTTGCCTATGTTTACACTTGTGAAATCATTCTATCAAGATGGGTATAGCCATCATGTCCAAAAGTTTCCTCATGTCTCTTTGTCTTCCCTACCTCCTGGCCTACAGCTCCCCATTTTCAGGTCAACCCCAATCTGTTTTGTGTTATTATAGCCTAGCTTGCATTTTTCTAGAAAGTTATATAAATGGAACTATACAAGCCCACACCTTTTTTGTCTAGCTGCTTTTATTCAGCATAATTATGTTGTGATATAGCAATGCTCATTTATCAAAAGCTCATTTCTTTTTGTTGATGATAGTATTCCATTTTATAGATATATCACAATTTATCTATTGACATGTAGATGGACATCTGGGTCACTTCCTGTTTCTGACTATTTCAAATAAAGCTGTTACAAACATTGGCATACAAATCTTTGTATGAACATATGCTTTCATTTCTGTAGAGTAAATATCTAGGGGTAGAATGGTTAGATCATATGGTAGGTGTATGTTTAACTTTTTAAGAAACTGTCAAGCTCTTTTCCAGAGTGGCTATGTCATTTTATATTCCTACCAGCAAAGTAGAAGAGCCCAGTTCTTTCATATCCTTATCAAGTTTTAAAATTTTAATAGGTGTGTTATGATGTTTGCTTGTGGGGTTTTTTCTTTTTCATTTTCCTACTGAGTATTTTTTTCATGTGCATTTTTGCCATGCCTCTCCCTCCTTTAATAGGTAAAATCTGTAAAATAGGGATAATATTATCTATATCATAAGGTTTTTGTGAGGATAAAAATGTATAAATATTTATAATGGACTTAGAACAGTGCCTGGCAAATAATAAGTGCTATATAAGTGTTTTTCTTATGTTCATTTAAAACTAGTTCTGCTTCAGGATGCAAGTCAATCATGCTGGCTTCCAGATGTATGGGGTCTTGCTTTACCTTTTCTCCAATCCCTGCTGCTCTTGGTGGCACAGTTAGAATTTCAGATTCTTAGGATTATTCCCTAGTTTAACCTCCAGCCTCAAGCAGGAATCCCTTCTGCATACCACATATGATCAACTGCTGGCTGCCAGAAGGCTTACCAAGAATTCTTCAAGTTGATTGAATTTCTCAATTCTGGGGAAGCTGATTGTGGCTGGCTATGAGGTGACAGTTAGGTCTCCCCACCCCAGCGGCTGGAAAGTTAAGTTTCTGGGTTTAGTGTATGCATTGCCAGGTCCTCCAGTTGCTTCTACCATAACACCTGACATGTGTGTTTGCATGTAATGAATGGTTGGCCACTCAAGTCAGAAATAAATTCCATGGAATGGCTCTCTCCTGGACTTGGGAGCTCTTATTTCTTGCCAGTAAGAAACTCAATTGGGAATAAGGACAGACCTTGCTTCTCTGCCTCTGATCCTGAATCAACACCTGAATAAACCCTGGGTTCTTTTTATTTAGCCCCATTGGGAGTGGGAGAGGAATTAAGCCCACACCTTTCATGGAATTCTTAAAAAATTAGAATGGGGGCCCTCCCTGGTGGCACAGGGGTTAAGAAGCAGCACTACGAAGCTATCCACAGCCTCTGCAGCATGAGTTCCATCCCCAGCCAGGGAGGTGACCCACACGGCACAGCAGACCTCTCCTGTCTCGCCTGCTGCTCTTTCAGTCCGTCTGCCTATTCTGCTCCCCAGTCTGTCTCTGGTGAATCCTCTCACCCCGCACCTGTGGCCTGTACCCCAGTTCGTGTATGCATAAAAAATAAATCTTTAAAAAAAAAAATTAGAACGGACCCAATAGTTCACTCTTAGCTAGAAGTATCTCTGGGTTTCAGATTTAACTTGAGCTTTTCCTGATTGAGCAGTAGGTTGCTTTGCTCACTTAGACAGTATTGTTACATACACAAACAAAAGATGGGTTTGCTACAAGCAAAGCCAAAATTTCCATCTAAATTTTAGCTAATAGAAATACAAGAACAGATTCAGGCTTTAGATTTTTAAATCTCCTGAGCCTGGCAGCTGTGTTTCCCTTTTTCTACTAAATGGTGCAGTTTATGTTTTAGGGAATTATGCAAAACATGCTTGCAGCACCAGAGCTTAAATGGGGTAGGATCCCCTGTGTAGTACTGTGTGTGGGCTGATGCTGCACCTTCTCCCCTTTTGAGGATGGTGAGGAGAGGTGGAAAGTGTCCTGAAAAAAAAAAAAAATCCAGCTACAGAACCCTGAGCTAGGGATATCCAGCCTTCTTAGTTCCAGAGTTTCCTTTTTCTTAAAATAACCGAGAATTAAGTGTAAAAATATGTGAGTGTTACAAATGCAGTGTGCATTGAGTAGTAGACATATAATTGCAAAGGCATGTTTATCTATCTAGCAGTTGCACTGCAAAACCATCTTTAGCTCACAGCCCAACCTGTTTTCTAAAATGCTGCACAAATGTGATGCATTTAAAACCTGCAGCTTTGCAAAGAGGTGCCCACAGAGCACCTTCTTTGAATTTGCATATTTGTGTACAGAACACAAACCGTTTACACGGGATTTTAGCGACTTTTTAAAGCTTAAAAGGTCCTCACGATTTGCTTGACTTAAAATGCACACTCACAAGTTCATTAAAAACATTTTTCAAACCTAGTTTCATAAAGCTAGACATCAGCAAGGTTTGATGGAGGGGTGGAAAATGGATCGTAGATCTTTAACCCGCAGAAGTTAAAAGGCTTTTTTTGGTTAGCTAACAATGGAAACTTTTTTTTTAAAAAGTGTTTCCCTCCCTTGGTCTTGCCAAGCAATAGAGAAAAAAAAAAAAAAAAAGAAGAAAAGAAAAACTTGTTCCGCTGAGTTCAACCCCAGACAGGCTCACAACTTCCTTCCTGCTTTCCTCCCCCAAGCCCCCGCCTTTCTCCCTCCGCCCGCCTCCCCCACCAAGTTCTTTTTTTTTTTTTTTTTTTTTTAATCGCACATTGAACAAACACTCAAGTAGCCGCGAGCAGACACTGACAGGGGTGTAGTATCTGCAGGGCCTAGAAGGGCGTGCAGGGCCCGCCCCGGGTCGCCACCGCCCGGACGGCCCGGCCCCTGCGCGAGGAGTTCCCTCTCGCTTTTTTTTTTTGGTCTTCCATAAGTTGGTGAGGAAATCGTTTCTGAGCTTTTTTGAGATCACCTTGTGCCTACGAGGTCTGCGCTTCTGGGCCATGTAGTCTGCACAGAACCTGTGGCTCTGAAGACCTGCAGGTAAGTTTGCTGGCTTTTGAGTGGTTCTTGCCTCTGAACCCCAGTTCCCCCCACGCTCTGCCCTGCTGAGATGAGTGTTCCGGGTTCGGGACAGCGCGGAGAGCTGGGCTGGGAGTCCGGGAAAGGGGTGGCTTTGGAGCGCGGCACGCGGCAGGGTGCGGAGAGGGGCTGCAGGCGAGTTTTCGGCTCTTCCCCCGCTCGCCTCCCAGGCCGCCGGCCCGAGCCTCCTGTCCCGGCGCCCCGAGCTCCGGGCGGCTTTGCTGGCGCCGGGGCGGCTGCCGGGATGCGAAGAAGCCGTGCCCTTGGCCGCGCCTTCCCGGGGCTTAGAACGCCGGCCCTGGAGGCTTGCAGAGCCCGAGGTGCTGCTGGGCTGCAGCCACGAACGCCCTGGAGCTGCTCGGCGTGGGCGCGGGTCCCGGTCCCCGGCGGCGGCTCCTCCCGCGCCGGGTCTGCGGAGCGGACACACACACACTCACACACACACGCACTCACACACACACACACTCACACACACACGCACTCACACACGCGCGCGCGCACACACACACACACACACCGGGTCTGCGGAGCGGACACACACACACACACGCACTCACACACACACTCTCACACACACACACACTCACTCACACACACACGCACTCACACACACGCACTCACACACTCACACACACACGCACTCACACACACGCACTCACACACACGCACTCACACACACACCGGGTCTGCGGACACACACACACTCACTCTCTCTGCGCTGTGGGGGCGTCTGCAGGGGCGGCGAGCGCTGGTTCCGGTACGGGGGACGCGCACCCCCTCGGCCCCCGCGCCAGGGCCCACACAAAACTCACTTGTTTAGGGACGAGCGACTCGGCCAGCGCAGGAAAAAATGCCTCGGCTGCAGCCCCGCCGCGGGCCCGCGCCTTCGTAGGCCCCGGGCCCTGGCCTCGGCCGGGGTCAGGAGGGCCGGGCCCGGCGCGCGGGCGTCGGTCCCCCGGCCCGCCGGCGACTGAGGGACGGCGGGTCTCCCTGGTTGCCTCGGAGTCGGGCCCTGACGAGCAGAGGGTGGAGCGGGGCGATCCCGAGGCCGAGGGGCGGGAGCTGCCCCGTTATCCCGAGATAACCGATGTTTGCTCGGGCCGAGGCGTCCCAGACGGCGATGGGGCGACCTCCCCCTCGGAGGTGCCCGAGCCGCTCGTGCCCGCGCACCGTGCACTTCAGCCGAGCTGTTGTGCATCTTCCCCCGCCCGTCCGCGTGGCTCTGGAGACCGATCTTAGAATTTAGGGTTGGAGGGGCCCTGCAAGCGCATCCCAACGTGGGGAGAGAAGGGGGCGCGCTAGGGACACTCACGCCCGCCACTGCGCTCGCGGCGGCTGCCCGGGGCTCGCGTCCTGAGGAGCCGCGCGGCCCGCGCAGGTGAGACGTCCCCTGGCGCGCGATCCTCGACAGCTGCGGTTCGAGGCCCGGGCCGTCCTCTTCACTTACGTACGGATCCCACACCCCCCTCTAGGGTCCTGACTTTTCTCCTTGTGTCTCCACAGTGGCGCTGTTTTTTATGGAGCTTTGCGCGGGGGCTGAGCCCGCGGTGTCGCGCCCAGTCCAGCGCCCCGGCCATGCCGCCCCGTCTGCGCGCCGAGCCGAGGCCGCCGGGCCTGCGGGGCTGAGCCGGGGGTCGCGCGAGGAGGAGGCGCCGGCGGCGGAGCCGGGACCCGAGCCGCGGCGGCGGGCAGCGCGGCGGACCCAGTACTATGGCTGTGTACTGCTATGCCCTCAATAGCCTGGTGATCATGAATAGCGCCAACCAGGCGACGGGCGGCGGCGGACCCAGGCCCAGCAGCAGCGAGACGCCCCCGCCGGGGAGGGTCGTATTAAGCCCAGGCAGCGTTTTCAGCCCCGGCAGAGGCACCTCTTTTCTCTTTCCCCCAGCCGAATCGTTGTCGCCCGAGGAGCCCGGGAGCCCCGGCAGCTGGCGGAGCGGCCGCCGCAGGCTGAACAGTAGCAGCGGCAGCAGCAGCAGCAGCGTGGGCAGCCCGAGTTGGGCGGGTCGCCTGCGAGGGGACGGGCAGCAGGTGGTGACCGCGGGAACCCTCTCCCCTCCAGGGCCGGAGGAGGCCAAGAGGAAGCTGCCGATCCTGCAGCGCGAGCTGCAGAACGTGCAGGTGAACCAGAAAGTGGACATGTTCGAGGCGCACATCCAGGCGCAGAGCTCCGCCGTGCAAGCGCCCCGCAGCCCGCGTTTGGGCAGGGCGCGTTCGCCCTCACCGTGTCCCTCGCGCAGCAGCAGCCAGCCGCCTGGAAGGGTTCTGGCGCCCAGCGAAGAAAGGAGGACGAAGTCCTGGGGCGAGCAATGTACAGAGACTTCAGCAGCGGACCCTGGGAGGAGAGGCAGGACTCCCAGCCTCTGTGTCTGGAAGGACAAGGAAGGAGAGGCATCTCTTCCTGGCCTGTGTGCCGGGTCAGCATTAGAGACGCAAGGGCCAGGCTCCTCTGTGAGAATGGAGAAGGGAGTCCCTACCAGACCCCGCTGTGGCTCACCTGTAGCTATGGAAATTAACAAGCGGGTCTCTCCGTCTTTGGGAACGCGGAGCTGCCAAGCTCCCTCGACCCAGCTGCTTGGAGTGAACTTCACGAAGGCCACAGAAATGGCACCGAGAACCACGGCTACTGCACCAAACTGTCCACGTGACCCTGCCTTCGTTGAGTGGTCTGAGAGGGCCCCCGAGCTTGAAAGTGCAAACCCTGGGGAGAATCGGGGGATATCTGTGGGCAGTGAGACAAGCCCAACCCCCGACAGGGTCAGGTCCCTCAGTGGAGAGCCCCCTGGAAAGGTGGGGAAAGGAAGTGTGTCCTCTGGCATGCCGGGCTCTAGGGAACAGAAAGCAGATGAAAGTCCAGAGGTGATGACTGTGAATGTGGAGGAGCCCTCTGGGGCCCCTAGCTGCTTCAGACCCCCAGGAGACCTGGGCTCCACAGATAGGGAGGTGACCCAGAGTGGGGCCCTAGTGGCGGTGGGGCTCTCACAGTGCTCCAACAGAGTGCAGGAAGGGTCCCCAGCGCTGGGTTTGTTTGGGGGCAGCCAGGCATCACAGCGAGGAGTCCAAGAGATGGAGACAGAAATTCCCTCTGGTGGAATACTGGAGCCTTTGCCCTGTTGGAAAACAGCAAAAGATATGAAAGAATCTCAGTGCCTTCCTGGGGACAGGGTAGATGTGCAGCCTGGGAATTCCAGGGCTTGGCTGCGTCCCATGGAGGAAGCCAGTCTGACCTGGACGTGTGGCAGCGGGGTGCAGTTGGAGGGAACTTGGGAAAACCAGCCACAGGTCAGAGACGCTCATACCAAGCCAGAGCTGCTCTCTGCAGATCAGCAGGACAAGCCTTCCCTGGGAGAGGTCCGCAGCCACAGCAATATACCGGCTGTCATCATTACAGACATGGGTGCCCCAGAGGACGGGGTCTTGGAGGAGCCACAGGGAAGCCCTCTGGGCAGCTTGCCCCTGAGAAAGCTGTCCTCCTCCTCAGCTTCTTCCACTGGCTTCTCCTCCTCCTATGAGGACTCCGAGGAGGACATCTCCAGCGATCCTGAGCGCTCCCTGGACCCCAACTCGGCCTTCCTACATACTCTGGACCAACAGAAACCCCGAGTGGTAAGTCTTGTCTTGAGATTTTTCTAGAACTCATGCTGCTTTCATGCTGCATGTGTTACCTGTTTTTTTTCTTACTGTCTACTAGTCATGAAGACGCTGACTAGGTCCCTGAGGACCTAGGTCCTAGGACCTATGGACTAGGTCCCTGGCAACTAGGTATTCAAAACTTAGGATTCTGTCTGTAGGTGTTTGCCGGGGAGCATTCTCTGACCAGTGATCTTGGTAACTTGGATAGTCAATCAAGTCACTTTTCCTTTGCTGTTTCCATGTACATCCTTCCAAAGCTATTTTTTTGAGATACCATGGGTAGGTCACCACTCACTTCTTGGGAAGATAATATTTGTGTCACCAAAAACTTCCTGATTAATCCCGAAAGATATTGAACAGAGCTGAATGTAGCTCTTGTCTGATCAGGTGAAACACTTAATTCTGTGATTCCTTTAGGTGGGGAAAAATGTCAAAGATGTCTTTGAATTAACTCACCCTCTAATAATAGACCAGAAAAATGAGCGATGAGGATCTGACAGGGCCCTGAAATCTATGGATGTGGTTGCGGCTGGTCTGTTGGGTGAAGAACTGCTGAGTTTCAGTAAGTTTAGTCAGGGTGTTGCAATATGCGTTGGCCTGCTATCACTGGGTACATTTTGATGTATGAATTATAGTGAAAACCATATTTGAGCTAAGCAGATGGCTTCTTTAATAATAGAATGTTGTGTTAGATCAAATTGCCTAAAGTAGGCACCCAATGCTGTTTAACTGATTCAGGTACCTTACAGGTATGTTTTCAAATGCATTTGTTTTGATTCATCATACAGACATCTAGTTCTGGTTACAGCAGTAGACAAAGTTTTTTTTCTGTTACATGGTTAATCTCAGTCTGAGGCTGTTTTCACTCTTGGGAGAATCAGAGTATTTTACTGAAGATGTCAGAGTTGAAGTTAACACTTCTGAAAAGGTCTGGACTTTCTCGTAGCTTTTCCAGACTATAGGGAATTTCCTAGTCAGGGCTCAAGGGGTCCTTCAGCTACCTTGGGGGAAAGTTTGCATTTGATGTAGAAGGTAACCTTTTTTTTTTTTTTAGAAGGTAACCTTTTGATTCCATCTTGAATATCAACTACTATCCACAGTGCCTCAATCATTTAAACCACAGCAACTGAGAGCTTTATATTTCTATTCTTTATTCTTTTCTAAGGACTCCAAAGCATGTCTTTCTACCTGTCACTTCAGAAATCACAGTCTGTATTTTTGAATATCAGGCATTTCTTTTCATGAAACTGCCTTCTGCTGATAATTGGGAGGCAAATGTATATGCAAAATTTGGCCCCCGTCATCCTGGCATTTTCTGGCTAGCTAGGACAGCACCTCTGACATGGACACACCACTTTTAGAGGAGGGATGGTCTACCTGGAAGGTTGGTTATAAAGGGCGGGTGGAAAATGCTTCTCATTAAAGGCACAACCCACATTTCTCTGCCTTCTTGCTTATAGTTAAGGGCCTGATGAATGAGGTGGTCCTCTGTTCCTCTCTACCCTTTTTCTTTTGAAACCCTCAAGCAGAGTCAGCACAGCCAAAGTCGGCACAGCCAAAGTTGCTTAACTTGTTTGCCAATTTTCCATTCGCCATTTCTGGTGGTGGATTAGCAGCTCCTATTGGCTGGTTCTCAAAAAACGTTTGCATGTCCTGATGTTTGAAAAGGTCTCTTGTCTGGATGTGAGTTAAAAAGGAGATAAATAATGATGGGTGATAATTTTTTTTTTCCATTGGCCAAAGGGATGCCAGCTGAGAAACCAGATAGCTGAGTGGTATTCTCAAGTTAACTAACAGGTCTGGAGGTAGCAGTGAGACCTACCTGTTGCCCAACCTACCTCCCACCTTTAAACAGGTTTTCATACACCCACCTGGGAGAATCAGGGAAAAATCCCCTGCCAGCTTTTCTCTCTGAATCACATGAGGCTGATGGAGAGTGCATCCGTGTGTGTGTGTGTGTGTGTGTGTGTGTGTGTGTGTGTGTGTGTGTGTGTATTGGAATGAGGTGTGGTGGGGTGGGTGAGTAGCCAACTGGAAATTATGGGATCCTAGGGGCTTTTGAGCTTTTGCTTGAATGATTGCATGATAAGCTGTTTTCTTTTTCTTGTACATACTGTTATGGTGGAACCTTATCTCTGACAACAGAACATCTGCTCTCGGGATCAGAAATCACTTGATTACTTGATATTGATATTTTTGTCTACAGAAGGCCAAGCATTTTGATTGACTGGGTCTTTCGGCTTTTTAGTGTTTTATAGATAAAATCTGAGCCATCACTCTCTGAGGTTCTACAATACCGACACACTGTTCTCTTCTCTGGACTTCACTGCTTCTGTCTAAACTGCACTGAGTCACAGGTGCATACACCCTCACAGGCTGACATTGACTCACAACCCCTCATATGCCCCCTCACATTTGCTCACGTTTTCACTCATACACCTTCACACACACACACACACCCTCACAATTGTTCACACCCCTTCACACACCCCCTCACACATGCTCGCCTTAACTGGCACATCCTCACACACACCCTCACACTTGCTTACACCCCCTCTCACACCCCCTCACACATGCTCACATTCACTCACACACCCTTACACACACCCACACTTTGCTCACACCCCTTCATACACACCCTCACACTTGCTCACACCCCTTCACACACACCCTCACACACCCCCTCACACATGCTTACATTCACTCACACACCCTCATACTTCCTCCACACTCACACACATCCTTACACATGCTCACATGCCATCACACACACAACCTCACACACTCTTACATTCACACACACATACTCTCACATGCACCTCATATTTGCTCATATTTGCTCATGTTTACTCACGTACCCTCACAAATGCTCACACACTCACTCACAGTCTTGAAATTGCATGTTTAGCTTTCTAGTCACACAGCCCTGGCCCTCAGACCCACACTGAGAATTTTTTATGCTGCTCTGCCTTTCCACAGAGTTAAACCTTCCACATCTCCTGCCACGCATTCTTCACTCCTGTGGAGGAAGGGCTGTGGGTGATGCTGTGTGTGGGCAGAGGTGACAGCCCAGAGAGGCCTAAAGTCTGGCTGCTTTGTCAGTCTGGTCTCCCGCAGCTCATCACTGCTGGTAGTTCCAGCGTCATTGTCTGGTGATTTTAGAAGACCTCCATGTAGTTAAAAAAACAGTGAAAAACAAGTTGTTTGCAAATGCATTCCTGTATTACCTAGCCATTTTAGATTACGCAAATTAGCAAAGGTCTTTATACTGGGAGGGAAAGGGGTGCGAAGTAAGACTCTCCCTCCTTTGCTTCCCTGTGCAGTTGTTGTAAAGATGCATGCAGGGCCTTCCCTGGTGGCGCAGGCGGTTGAGCGCAGCACTGTGAAGCTGTATGCAGCCTCTGTAGCACCAGTTCAAAGTGTGTTAGGCCTTTCCTATGACTTCACATGAACCCAAAGATACGCTTGTCCCTCAAATAGAATGTTCCAGTTTTTGTACATGCATGTCCATTTGCTGATGGATCAGATGCTTGAAGTTGCTTGGAAGTAATTGTATTACATGCCTTGTGTTTGTTGGCTTAAATTCAGCTACGTTTACACTTGGAGGTGGAAACAGAAGTGAGTTGCACTGAGGATTGTGTTCTGGCTTTTGCTCTTTAATGCAACTGAAAAGTAATTGACAGTTCTTTACTTTCTACTGTGATTCCATTTAAGAGTATGTGGGTAATTGAAATACCAGGCTTTAAAATAATCATTAAAATATGCATGCATCTTTTTTTAAAAAGATTTATTTATTCATTTTACAAAGAACTGGGGTACAGGCCAGATGCATGGGAGGGTGAGAGGATTCACCAGAGACAGAGCGGGGAACAGAACAGGCAGACTGATAAAATACACTGCTGAGGGGAGCAGTGGGCACGACTGGAGAGGTCAGCCGCACCATGTGGGACATTCGCTGGCTGGCCAGGATCGAACCGGTGCTGCAGAGGCTGCGAACAGCTTCACGGCGCTGCGCTCAACCGCCTGCGCCACCAGGGAAGGCCCTGCATGCATCTTTCTGTAAAAAATAGAATTTATTGATTCATTCCAAAATTGTACTGTCATTAAGAGTACAAAAATCAAAACACTGGTCTGGTTACCTAAGGGATGTATAGAGAAGTATAATACACACAAAAAAATACTACTTGGCACTTACTATATTTTAAAGGAATTTACTGGGATTTTGTTTCCTTGGTTTTTCTTGTTTGTATTGATTAGTTTCGTTGTCATATTTGTTTTAGTAAGAAGTTAACTCATACACTTAATAATAAAAAACTCAGTTTGAAATGGTTTTATCTGGTTTTGGAAAGAGTTAAATTTTGTTCTGGGGTAGACCAATTAAAATTTAAAAGCTTTGAAAAATAGTTTTTAAAAAATGTGTCTAATGGTGAGTACTTTAAAATGGAAAATTCTCTTCCGGAAAAGACTATTGAAGGTCCAGCTTTGTGCTGTCATGAGTTGAAGTTGCATGTGCTGTTTTTCTTGAGATTGGGTGCTCTTCTCTCTTGGGTATGTGGGGAGGATCTTTCCAGTAAGACCTCAGCACAGGGGCCTCCCTGGTGGCTCAGCGATTGAGCGCTGGGTTGCGAAGCTGCCCGCAGTCTCTGCAGCGCCGATTCGATCCCCTGTCGCCAGGTGAGGGTCCCACATGGCGCTCAGACCTCTCCTGCCACCCCCGCTGCTCCCCTCAGCAGTGTATTTCGTCAGCCTGCCTGCTCTGTTCCCCAATCTGTCTCTGGTGAATTCTCTCACCCTCCCGCACTTCTGACTGTACCCAGTGCTTGTATAAATAAATAAATAAATAAATCTTTAAAAAAAAAAAAAAAAAAAGACCTCAGCACCTTTCAGGTCTGGGAGTATTCCAAGTCATTTGTGTGAGATTCCAGGGGTCTGGAGGTGAGGAAACCAAGCCTCAGAATGGCAAAAGGACCCAA